TACTGAGGAACTTGACGGTGTATTTTATTCTATTTTCGTCAGTGTCCCATCTTTGTTTGGTAATAACAGCCTCTGGTTTCAGTACGATCCACCTTAATGTCTTTATATCAAATTCAAGAAAGTCTTCTCCATTGTAAGCATACCGTAAAAAGTTGACCATCTCTCCAGTGCTTTCATCCCATTCACAGCCACTTACACTCTGTAAAATGTGGATGCCTGATGAGACAGAAAGAAAACAAAGACTGCAGTGAACTGCATTAATGTTGTTCATTGTATGAGGCACTACTAATCTCCAAGATTTGAGTATTAATAGTTGAATAATTTAATCAATTGAAAAACATTGCAGATTCAAATTAACGTCTGGTTATTTGTGTTTAAAACAAAAAGGTTTAGAAGGACAAGAGAAAGAAAATGATTCAGCAGAGGAGTCATCTTAGAAGAATGTAAAGATAGAGATATGTATATTTTCTTAAGATTGTTATATTATATTATATTATTATTGTTAAAATAAGTAAAATTGAAATCTTAACATTTTTTAACACAAACTTTTGTATTTTTATGATGGTTTTAAGGTCTCAAATAAGAAAGAGGCCAACGAAATTAAAACTTGAAATCTTTCATGATTAACAAAAAACTTTTTGTTATAAAGTCTTGTTTTGCTTTGTTATATCTAATGTTTTATAATGATCTGACATGAGGCATAACAGGAAATACTTTACCTCCAGGTTGGTTGAACTGCTGCTGTAAACCAAAAATCCAGGCTCGGAATAAGTTTGGCATAGTCACAAAACACTGTACAGTCAAAGACTTCAGCTGCTGAGGGTTGTCATCTAATATTTTCTTTGCCCAGTCCTGTCTTGGTTCTAGTATTTTGTTCCTGCTGTCACAGTAACCCGCCTGAATGCCATCAAACACCATTTCACTCAAAAACTCTGATATGTTTGCGACTCCTGACGATCCAGTGGCCACATGCTTCAGTGAGTGTTTTGCTGTGAGACAAACAATATTGTTTTATAATTAAAAATATGCAAACAATGTCAGCAGCCTATAGGTGTAGTCCACTTTGTTTTTTCTAAGTGAGGACAAAAAAAATATTATATTTAGGTTGATCATTTGAAATTCAGTTGTTACTTTAAGAGTATTTCATGGATTAAATAAAGACCTAATCAGTGATCTAGTATATCTAGATAACGAGTGCCAAATTTAATACGGTCCAGTCAAAAGAAAAACTGCTGTTTCATCTCATTAAAGAGATGCAGTGTCAGTTTTGTGACTGACAGGCCAAATTAGCATGATGATGCACTTGCGAGTCTTTGAGTCGTCTACCAGAAGTGCGCTAATGTGTATACACAGATGCAGTTAGTTTATTTCAGTGATTACATAAAAGAACAACTCATATTAGTGGCTTAAATATTGACCAGATGAGGCCACGTGTCCAAACGAAATTAATACAGTGTAAGCGACAGTTTTACATGTTGTTCTCACTGGAAACGGAGGTAAGATGAATGAGAGAAGAAGAATGATGGTAAAGAAAAATCAGTATGGTTTTCTATACAGGTAAACTCATTTGTTAGAAATGTGTGACGACTTATCCAGAGGAGAGCTGTATTATTACATTGTTATTACTTTTCCACTATTAAACACATGTGTAACAGCTGTACTATAGAAGAACACAAGACATCTGATATCTGTGGTAATGAAGATAATGTCTAATATGTAAAAATGCGGGGGGGGGGGGATGTTAAGCTATGGAACTTATTAGTCTATTTTACATATTTTAAGATTCAGACATTAAAATGAAACACTAACACTGTCACGTTATCAGCTTGTTATCAACTCACAAGCCTCTGGTAGGACCAGAGCTTGAAGGAGGTGGGGGAAAAAAAATAAAAATGCTACAGTGCCAATAAAATTCCATTGCTGATCCACGTCTGATAAATTGGTTTTGATCCTGAATCGGTTTTCACCCTGTTCTGTATCATTATTATTCCACAAAGTGAATATTGAAATTTACATTGGGATCATGGTAATTATCGACGCTGACTTATTAAATTAAAACGAAAGTAAACACGCTGGTCGAGGTCAGGTGAGCCTGCTGTCACAGCTTCAAAATTTAAGTTTTTCTTACCTGCAAATAAATCACGGCAGAAGAAAAACAGCAAAAATAACTTCATTTCCTCGTTATCCTGAAAGCAGCATTGGTAACCGTGAATTTGGTGGACGTTGCTTTTGAAAGCCCGACAGAGTACAAGGTTCAGATTCCTCCCCTCTCCTTCTATGTTGCATGTCCACTGATATGGGATTAATAACCTGCCATAAACTGAAACTGGAAGAAGAAGCTTTGATGATTTAAATAAGCCTAATTCCTGTAAGTCTTGTAGTATGCGAGAAATTGTATTGTCTCTATGTAAACATTAGGAAACCAGAGTTCGGGAGACTGTTAGGATATCTATTATGTATTATTCCTGTCAATGTAACATTTGGTGCAGTATTGTCAGCCTGCAGACACAAGTGATCCAGTGAAAAGTCACAATACAAACCGTTAATACTATTATGGCCAGAATTAAATTCCCCTCACTGACACAGCTGTTTGTCCATTTGTGCTACTTAATTGTATATGACGTTAATTAAAAAAAGAATACATATTACATATACATACACTTCATATCTCGGAAACGATAGGATCGTGAAAGACCCCGATTCCCTCCCATTTTCGTGCCATTTTGCTGTGCTAAAATAAGTTCATATTTGCCTGATGGTATTCTTTTTTTTATATAATATTTTAGACTTACCCCAGTTCCTTAAATTAGACTAAAATGTCTAAGCCACACAAAAGCGACACATTTGATTCTAAGGACAAAAAATGTCAGTTAATGTATTCCTTTTTATTATGACTCTTTTTCTGCACTACGTGCTTTCAATGTTTATGTTCGTCCACCAGATGACGCTACTTGTTTTTATTATTCATAGCAGCTTGTGGTCAAGTTTATAATTAGGTTATGATTAGGTTTAGGCTCAGGGTTAGGATTAGGCGTTCATATTTTAATGCTTAGGGTTAAGGAAAGCATTATGTGAATGAGATGTCCTCACTAAGATATGAAAACGAGTGTGTGTGTGATGTCTAACTTATTTTGTCTTAGAAGACCATTCTTTGAATTATAAACTAGTTTAATAATAATAAATTATGCTAACCTTTTGGAGCTGCAAAAGTTATCCCGGGAGCAAGAACTAAAGTAAAACTAGACTGTACAGCATACAGCAGACTCTGGAAATGATTGTGCACTCTGAGAGAGAAAACTGCTCTCCAGCCTCCTCTGAGGACTCGTCCATGTCAGTCACAGAGGCAGAAAGAGACCAGCTGGACTCCAGCTCTGGCATATGTGAATATGGATAAAGGAGCAACAGGATGGACTTGTCCATCTCCACATTTTGGTGTCCCCACACAAGACTATGTCCTTGCACCCAGAGGTTTAGTCTGGGGACACTACACAGCTTTGATGAGTGACCATGAGTGACCCAAAGTCCAGCTTTGCAGATCCCTCTCATCAGTAAATGTAAGGGCAGTGTGATGTTTTTTGTCATAAGGGTCAAATGCATTAGCATTTTAAGGCTTAGAGAAAAACAGGCAATGACACAAACTTATGGGACAGAGTGCTCTTTGAGATTCTATGAAAGCGATCACTTTATTTTGAGTTAAGCTGTTGTTTATTTAGTCAACAGACGGATCATCTTCCTTTAAGGCCAAAGACTTGTATGACCCGAGTAGCAGGAAAATAACACCAACATATAGAAGGTTGTTGGTTATGACTTGTACACAGTAGCTGGCAGTGGAATGGATACTGTCCATAAAGACCTGGAACAATAATAAGGGCAATGTTTCCTTCTTTTTTTAACATGATCATTGTTTATATAGTAAATATTTAGGGTTTGGAACAGGATTGACCTGTTCTTTGTTTAACCATCCACAACTGTGCTAGTTCTGCATATCTGGTCTCTCTCAGGTGTCCACGGGATGAACAGATGTTAATGAGAGAGTGACTATGGATAAATTGAAGATTTTACAGAACTACAACAACAAAAAAATTTCCAACACACCGAAAGCACGCACGCACACACACACACACACACACACACACACACACACACACACACACACACACACACACACACACACACACACACACACAAAACAGATTAAAAGCAAAAAAATAAATAAGAAGAGATTTATGAAACACTATTGATGGAGTCTGATCTGAATTAGTTTCATCAGTTTGGGAGTGCTGTTGGTAAATGGTCCATCTCCTCTGGTCATCAAACAGAGACCTTGAAATAACCACCACAGGATGCTTTAATAATAATAATAAAAAAAAAATAAAAATCAATACACACATTAACTTGTAGCCAGAGTAGTTCAACAGCTATTGCAATGTTATATTCAAGTCTCTCACTGCTTTGCAATTTTCAGGTAGAAGCTGCAGTCTGTAAGTGTCTGAGTGAAGCCAGCATAAAGTGATTTACAGCAGTCAAGGTGAGACAGACAGAAATTATAAAGATTTCCTTTTTTTAATGGAACATGAAAGCCAAATTTATTTTGACAACAAACCAAGCTTATTTTCAATTTTGAGACCAATGATTAAAACAGCTGGGACTGATGAAGTGTGTCATCTCCATATCATTGGTGAAATATACTGTATTTTGAATGATCTTGCTGATAGCAGTGCACCAGGTTCTTGTTTGACAGGTAAGAACATAATACATGTAGAGCAGATTCTGTAATATCAGACATAATTTATGTTGATGCAGGAGAAAGTGTTTAGAATTATTTAGTAAAAGCAGATTCAGGTTTAACAACTGAATACTCATGCTGGACAGAAATACCAGAAATTGAAGAACTGTTATCAATAAAAAAAGATAAAATAATGAAATGATCAACAATCTTCTCTGCTTGTTACTTGTGTATGTGTTGGTGTGTATATTGGACTATAGGGTGCTGTGTTTGTTCACGGGGCCTCTGGATTCAGTCTCTCTGAGAGTCCATAGATGTTGCCCGAAGCTGTAAAGTCCAAAACACACTGTTACTCACACTGCTGTTGGACTTGCTTTTATATGCAACACCATTAATACAGAGTAAATAAGAAAAATAGTTTACTTACTTTGTTCACTTTTTCTTTCTGGAAATAGAAAGGGAAGAAATATTTCAGAACGTCAGAGAAATTCTGTTTTGCAGTTTGTATCAGAGTATAAGCTCTGCTCATCTGAATATCTCACCTCTCTTCTTTTTGAAAACACAAAATCCAATGATGAAGAAAACAACAGAAACAACCACAGCAGGAATAATCATCATGTGCGAGGACCTCTCTGCTCAGTCAAAACAAACAAACAAACCAGATAAAATGTGTACAAGAAGCAGGTTAGAGTAGAAGTAGTATTATCCTAGTTCTAATATAAATCCCATAATGGTGAGGGGAAGTAAATACACCATAATTTCTCAGACTCATATACCATGACATATTTCAGTTCAGCAGAGCAGACACACTAAAATTATGTGGCTGACTTTTAACACCTATTATGTTCCCCGATTGAAAGGCTAAAAATAAATAACCAATGGTTTTATGGATTAGAGACACTGTTGAATTTTGAAATTTATTTAGATCCTGCTTTAGGCGCAAACAAAAACAGGATAAAACATTCAAACACCACAATAACAAGAATCCAGAGTCCAAGCAAACAAAATGAATCAAATGATTTTCGCTCACCTTTTGTAATGTTTTCAACCCAGTTGGTTCTGATCACTGTTTTATTCAGGCTAGTGATGATGTTGTCTTCACCATCAGAGAGCTGAAACGCACAGTCGTATCTGCTCCACTCTTCAGGCGTGAATGATGAAACATTCAGATCAACACTCATCTGGAAGGTCTCATCATTGTTGGGGAGAATCTCTCCAGGATCCACACCATCATGAAGCTCCTCTCCATCTTTCCTCCAGAACATCACGGCTCTGTCAGGATAGAAACCTGTAGCGTGGCAGCTGACTGGAGAGGAGGGAGTCTTCTGTACGAGAGACACTGAGGGAAGAACTGGGGGTGGGGGGTGGGGGAGAGCGGCACGGAGAATGCATGGAATAACATGGGAAAGTAAAAACAGAAAAGGAAAGAGGAACAAAGGTGGAGGAATTGAATCGGGACATATGAAGAAAATATCTGCCCGAAATCAGTCTCATAAAAATAAAATTTAAAGTGTATCAGGTCATGTGATTCTACCTGATTTCTGTAGGGGGCTTTTTGCACTGTCCACATAGGTCTTCAGCCACTCTGGACAAATCTGAGTGAGGAAGTTTTCATTGTGTTTAGTTCGAACTCTGTCAGCATCCCATTCCTGTCTAATAAGGTCAGCCTCTGGTTTCAGTGCGATCCATGTCAGTGTCTCCAGATTGAATTCAAGAAAGTCTTCTCCGTTATAACCAAAGTGTACTAAGCCAGTCAGCTCACCAGTGTTTTCATCACGTTCACAGCCGCCTATCCTCTGTAAAACATGGACGCCTGAAGAGACAGACAGAAAACAGCGATCGTAAAGAGCTGTTATATATTGCACCTTGTGTTAAGCACTGCGATTTTCAAAGGTTTGAGTCCAATAATTAGATGGTCGTCATCATTTTTATTAGCATGAACTAACTGGAACACTGCAGCTTTTAAAGGCAGGCCTGATGTGAAGATCACAGGACCACAAGAAAACGATAAAAGAAGGAAAAAAACACAGAAACCGATTGATCGCATCAGTCATGTGACAGATGTCTTGATTATAGCAACAGCTGTAAAAAGCTGAAAAAGTGTTAAAGTACAATTTTTCAAGGCAAACTCTAAATTGAAAATTTGTCCTTTTAGGAGTACAGAATGTAAAATGTAGCTTTTCACATCAGTCTGTTTTGTTTAGATATATCCCATGATTTAAAATGATCTGAGGTTCACCTTCACTTTTGGTGAATTGCTTCAAATGAGAAATCATGTTTTTGAAGAAGTTTGGCTGTTCCTTGAAACACATGTGATCGTACCACTCCTTCTGCTCAGGACTGGTTTGTAATATTTTCTTCGCCCAGTCCTGTTTTGGTTTTAATGTCATGTTGTTGCTGTCACAGTAACCCGCCTGGATGCCGTTAAACACCAGTACACCCATGAACTCTGGGATGTTTGGGACTCCAGAGGATCCAGTGACAAAATACTTCAGTGAATGTTTCACTGTGGAGCAAACAATATTTATAATGTTAGTTAATTAAGAAAATAAACATTAGCATAATACACTCAGTATGATTAAGGTAACATATTCTCAGTAACATTACAGTAACAGTCACATGAGTCTAACATACTTTTATTTTCATTAAAAATAAAAGTCACTGATCTGGTTTGAGGGTGTTCTGCACAGCAAACCTAAAAGTTATCAAGAAAAACTGTCATCTATCTACTGTGTGTGTGTGTGTGTGTGTGTGTGTGTGTGCTTGCGTGTGTGTGTGTGTGTGTGTGTGTGTGTGTGTGTGTGTGTGTGTGTGTTATACACCAAGCTGTTTTTTCAGTACTAATAAGAAAATTCTGTCCTGTTTCATGTTCTTATTATTCCAGAAACTGTGGTCTAAACTTCAATTAAAAATGTCAAAAGTGCTTTAAAGTACAATGAAAGTAAAAGCTGCTCAAGGTTACTGCTGTTAGAGATAAAATATTTTTCTTACCTGCAAATAAACTACGACAGAAGATAAGCAGCAAACACAACTTCATCGTTTCTCTATCTTTAAGGTCATAACTATTATTCCTTTTCTTTACAGAAATGTGAATCAACAAGTCGTCGTCCACCGACAGTAAGTGACCAACCCGTGTCCCTCCCCCTGTTCCTCCAGTTTCTCCAGTTAGCACGCTTGTAACCATGGAAACACTTAAATCTGCAGTTCTTACATACAAAACCTTTTTTTTTAAATTGCAATAATAATAAGAAACCATAGAAAGTCTTGTGAAACTATGCAAACTACTGAATGATTTAACATTGCGTTGTTTCAAAGTTTTCATCAGTGTTGCCTAAATTGAAAATTGGCGCAGTTTATGTCTGCAGGGGTCTGCAGAGATGTTTTCTATCTGTTTCCTTACCCTGGACCTGTACAGACGTGCAAAGTACAGACTGGATAACGGCAGTGTAAAACAAATAACCAGCAGGTCCTGCAGATGAACTTGTTGAGCTGCCACAGGAAGTAGGAAGGTTGAATATTATTTTTGTTTGTGGCTTATTGGCCAATATATGATCGCTGAATAGTCTTGTTAAGCAGACTGGACAACAGCGACGCCTTGTGGCAAAGACCCAGAAGGTTCACTCAGTCAATCTGAAAGTAGCTTTTTTAGTGGGAGAAACTTTTCGTAACTCATTAAAGTGACTTCCTCAGCCTTGCCTGGATGATGAACCATGCACCAAGACTTGTGGCAAAGAGTTTAATTACGGTAACATGAGCAGCTCCCTGACATTCATCTCTAGCTTTATTGTCAGGAATCTAAGACCACGATACAATTAAAAGAAAATAGGAATGAATTAAGTTTTTTATTTTTTATTTTTTAGGTTTTTAAAGTAGAGCCTCATCTGGAAGGTCCCATCATTGTTGGGGAGGATCTCTCCATTATCCACGCTTTCATGAAGCTCCTCTCCATCTTTCCTCCAGAACACCTTGGCTCTTTAAGGATAGAAACCTGCAGCGTGGCAGCTGACTGGAGAGGAGGAAGTCTTCTGGAGGAGAGACACTGAGGGAAGAACAACAGAGAGAAAGGAAAAAAGCGACAAATGTTAGATTCTGAATTGTACTCTATCTTAGAAAAAGGAAGCCATATGAATTTCCCCGCTTACTACATCAGATTATGTGATTATACCTGCTGTCTCCAGAAAGCTCCTCCCATAGTGGAAATGCTTCTTTAAAAACCTAGGGCATAAATGGCTTGAAGAGCTTTTATTATGTTCAAATCGGGCATGTTCCATATTCCATCTTAGTTTGGTGATGACAGCCTGTGGTTTTGGAGTGATATGCAGTGATCTGCAGGTCAAACACTATAAAGTCTTCTTCATCATAACCATACTGATTGTATCCATCAATTAGTCTCATCACTCCATTTACAACCACTCATCCTTTGCAAAATATGAACATCTGAAAAAAAAAATAAAGCCACAAAAGCTGCAATAAACCAGTAAGATGTCAGCAGAGGCCATAGCTAACATCATATCTGCAGACACAAAAATAGAGGCTCTACACCCACTGCACTGTTACAGGAACAAAACCAAACTACCAATTTGCGGGTGGAGTGAAAGGCTGATATTTTAAAGAACTTTTACTCTCTGGATTCTTTTGTTTTATTTCAGCAGTGTGGTAGGTTGACCATGACATTTCAGGGCTGCATACATGTCCTGCTAACACCGGGGATAGCCTTTAACAATAAAAAAGAGAATTAAATGAAGCTTATGCCAAATTTTAGTAAGTATGTGAGTGCATACAATCACTATGATAAATTGTAAATGGACTGATTCTTATATAGCGCTTTTCTTTTCTCCCGGAGCAGTCAAAGCGCTTAAGTCGTCTGCCTGCTTTCCCAGGTGTTTAACTCCTTCTCTATTCTTTACATCTTTTCCACTTTACCACACTGTAAAACTCAATGCCAACATCAGCATTGTAGTAAAATAATTTTCATGTCCATCTTCTTCAAGCCAATCAGTCTCCACTCAGCATAGTTTAAATCACACTACTTACCTTTGATCCTCCTTTGCATTCACTTGCATACACCAAGAAAACAAAGGAAGTGATCATGGACTTCCGCAAAACAAGAACTGATCCCCCTCTCCTATCCATAAAAGGTACTATGTGGAGAGGGTGTCCTCCTTTAAGTTCCTCGGCACCCACATATCCGAGGACCTATCCTGGTCCACAGACACATCAGCCCTAGTAAAGAAAGCCCAGCAGCGCCTCCATTTCTTGAGGGTTCTGAGATGGAACAGGCTGCAGACTGAACTCCTAGTGTCCTTCTACCGTGCCACTATCAAGAGTGTGCTGGTGCACGCCATCCCTGTGTGGTACGCTGGTTGCACAACAGCTGACAAGAAGAGACTACAGAGGGTCATCAGAACTGCAGAGAAGGTGACTGGCTGTCCACTCCCCTCCCTGGACTTAATTGCCAGCTCAAGATGTCTCTCCAGAGCCAGGGCAATTATAAAGGACCACCTCCATCCTAACCACCACCTCTTCAACATCCTGCCCTCTGGAAAAAGGCTCAGATCCATCAGGTGCAAAACCAACAGACTAAAGAACAGCTTCTTCCCGAGGGCTGTCAGAACTCTTAATGCAAACTAAGAGTGTGTAAAGACTTCCCCAACACATCCACCCTGACACTGCTGTTGATCATCTATGTGCAACATCTCAGTCTTTCCATGTTCTGTGCAATATTTTTGGCTCATGTGCAATTATTTTGGTCCCAGTCTGTTTCAATGTTTCCTACACATACACCATGTATATAGTTCCACTCACATATGTATACATATACACTGTTTTTTATTTTATTCTATTTATTTATTTAATTATTTATTTATTTTCCGCCTTCGTTGTATATTGGTTTCTCTTCTTCTTACTTTAGCACCTTTGTGGTTCAGCTACCCAATTTCGCTGTGCAAGAAACTGCACAATGACAATAAAAAGCTCTAAGTCTAAGTCTCTATTCTGCCTTAATTTCTGGCATAGCTTCGATTTCATTCAGCTGTGATAGACCATCAGAGTCTAACAGCCAAGCAGCTTACAAGGACATGAACTGCTGCACATAACAAGGCTGATTTACATCGTGGAGCCCTGGTCTCAAAAACTGGCATAGATGTACCTCTGTCTGTAAGCTGGATTTAAGTGCTTCAAGTTTTACCAACATGTTTAGTGGCATCTTCTGTTAATACGGAACATGACGTCATGTGGTTGGTTGGTTGCGGCTAATTGATTTACATTCGTTTATGTTGGCTAACCAGTGGGCGACCTTGCCATGCACCTATAAGGAATGTGGCACATCACGAACCAAAGCACCATCATGAATTGTCTGAAAATCACAACCATTTCTTTGGCCACCATGAGGTGGGGGATTTAGAGACTGGGCACCCAGCAACAATCTGGTACTTGTCCTGCAGACTGCTAAAGTACAATAAACACTCTGTAGGGTCAGCTTATGGAAAGCACCTCATCCTGATGGTGTACTGGGATGAGTACAGCAAGACTGCACCATGGAAGTAGAGAGGTCTTCACAAGCATCTTTAACACATCTTTGTCACATTGCTCTGTTCCCGCCTGTTTAAAAATATCTTTAATATGCCATTACCTAGGGTGACCAACTGTCTTCTTTTCATTTTTCACGTTCTGTCCAGGGCGTCCAGGGGGATTTTCAAGATTGATAAAAATGTCAGTGATTTCCTATATTCCGACAGAGGACCCATGTGTGTGACATCATCCCTGAACTGCTGCTTTGCGAGTTGTTCTGCGCTCACAGACGGGACAGACAGCAACGTGCCTAATGATGTTTAAACGATCCCAAAGCGTAAGTGCATCTTTTCAGATGAACTGCAAAAGAAGTTTCCCTCGTACCAACCTGGTAATTTTTCTTTACCAACTTTGAGGAATCACCAGTCGAGACACTTTTTTAAAGATTATTATTTATTAAAGCATTGAATAATTAAAAAGTATCATGGATCTCTTCTGTTCAGAAAACCACAGATACAGCTAACTTCCCAGAAGTGAGTACTCAAGCTTAGAGGTACAGCTGCTACTCTGTTACACGTGTACTAGATGTTTTTCTCTATTCTTTCATCCTTCACCCAATAACTTGTTGTTTTAGTGACCATGAGAGCAACCGTGGCTGAGATACCTGACGATGTTTATGTCTCACATGGTACCGATGACCCACCTTATCATAGTACTTAGTGTCCCTTTACTTTGAAACTTCTACACTGTCACCATTTCTAACAAAACACTGTGTAGACATCTAAATTCTTAAGCTCTTATTTGCTATAATACTTAACACATGAAAAAATCCGATTTGAGCTGACCTCGTTGTTCTCTTTCCCCCTCACCCCTTTAGTAAAAGCTATTTCCTTACAATTGACACATACTTAGCATAATTCACTCGATTTAGCATTATTTCAACAGGATTTCTTATTTTAAACAAAAATACATTGTTTTCCTCCATCATTCTATTCTTTACACTCACATACAGCGTTTAAGGTGACATCTGCACAGAAAGAGTGCAGATGTGACATTGTGCAGTACACACACAGAGAAAGTCTGGGTTGAAAGGTTATTAGAATTATTTCATTGTAGTGATAATTTTCTTGTTCGACTTTATTAATTCTTGATTATATTTTGATTACGTTTCTGATGTGATTAGAGCAGAAATAACTATCAGCAAAAACACTTACATATAACTCTACATATACCCCCAAAGGCTGGATTTCAGGCCCTTTGCTTAATTTCTGACTGCATCAGGGCTGAGGAATCTCATTCTTCTTTACATTATTTTACCGAATGTTATTTTAACACATTCAAAATAACCTACAAAATAAAAAAAGATTCTTAAAAAACGGTGTGAACAAACGTGTGTCTACTCGTTTTTTCTCAATCAACGACACCCCCACCAAGGAACACGTCTGTCCAGCATTATCCCCCACCACCTGATCATCAGGATAAATACACCATACAAATTATATATACATTATATCATTAATAGCTATAGCAGTGCTATAGGAAATATGATATGATAAAATATTAAAATGCATTTTACCTGAGTTATTACAAGTTAACTTGAATTTAAAACAATAACAAAGGAAAAAAAGATTTTGTGTAAAAAGTCATGTTTACATAAAACAAAACTGAAATAGAAAATCTTCTCAGTTCTTGTTTGTTCAGTGTTAACTGCAGGTGTCAACACTGTGTAGACTCCTCTGTCTGTCTGTGTGGTCTTTCGGAGAGTTCTATCGTGTTGTGAGGAGCTGTTACATCCAAAAGTCCAAATAATAATAACAATAAAGTTAACAATAAATAAAATTAGCACAATATTAATCAAATAATTTAAATCCAGGGTGAGAATACCAGATTAGAGGGGGATAGTGTACTTACAAGAGGAAGGGCATCTGCCTAAAATAAATTAAATAAATCAATAAAATTCATTTTGGACAGTTTTAAATGCCTAACAATCAAACCTTCTCTTACAAAAATCAGAAGTAACAATGTTTAACATGTAGACTATTATATTGCAGAGATAATGAAATTAAGCATTTATGTCTCTACTGACTGGTAAATAAACTTTAAATCTCTTACCTTCTTTCATTTTGTGAATGGCAATTACAGTGACAGCAACAATGATGACAACAAGAACAACCGCTGCAGCAATGATGAGGATTTCTGCTCAGTGACAACAAACAAGATAAAATGTACTGATAAATAAGATGGAATAAAACTGCATCCAATTATTGAAAATATTTTTTTTGACAATTTGTTTGATCATGAAGCCACACACTCAACCTGATGAAAGAAATCTAATTTAAATTGTTCCCTTTCGAGGTCACCACAGCGGATCATCTGCCTCCTTCTCAGCCTGTACCTAACATCCTCCTCTGCTATCGTCTCCAAACCAAACATTGTAGCAGGTCTCACTGCTGCACTGGCCTTTGCTTTGAAATCATTGACCCCAAGTGTTTTACTACATCTGCTCCTTGCATCACAGCTTCACACTCTGCACCGTCTTGAACCAACTTTCTCTAGAATTCCTTTTTTTTCTTCTAACTAATATCCAAATCTGTGGGCCGTACACACTGACAACATTGAGCATTACCTCTTTGAGTTCCAGCTTCAAACTCATGATCCTGTCTGATACTGTTCAGCTCCAGAACACTCTTCACATGCTCTTCTTTCTAGATTACTCAGTTTCTCTTCCCAAATGCACCATGATAGAACAGTTTGAATAAACCTGGCACCTGTTCATTTTACACAAAGTACCTACATTCTCTCTGTTATATCAGCCAGCTTTCTCCCATAATCTCTATATTTAAAATCCCACTCATGATGATGATGATGATCCCATGCATTCTTTAGTGTGAATACTTTTTTGATAACATATGTCACATGTTGGATTTAAATATGGTATGATATCTATGTCAACTCGACTGATGTAACCACAAATGCAGCAATATACAGTGCTTAACAGACACACCATAATTCATGTCACTGAATTTTTAACCCATTTACATGAGCTGTTTTTCACCAAACAAAATGCTCCTAAATGGGCCACAAATAAACAACCAAGGCTTTCATAGACTGCAGATGCTGAATTTGAAACATAGAAGTACTAAACTAATTTCAGCTTGATGGTTTTCTTGAGAATATTAATTTCAGTTTTGTTGAAGTGCTGGAAATTTTTTTTTTTTTTAGGATCTCCATCAGTAATTCCCATAGTAACAGCAACTCTTCTTGGGATCCGATAAAACATTTAAGCGTAACATTAAACATGATCCACAATAACAGCAAACAAAATAACTCAAATCTGTTTGTCTTACTTTGATCATGTCTAATTTTGTTTTTTCGCCAGTTGACGGTTTTATTCAGGTTGGTAATGATGCTGTCCTCAGCGTTAGAAAACTGAAACACACACTCATATCTTTTCCACTCCTCAGGTGTGACTGATGAAACATTCAGGCCAACACTCATCTGGAAGGTCCCATCATTGTTGGGCAGGATCTCTCCAGGATCCACACCTTCATGGATCTCCACTCCATCTTTCCTCCAGAACATCAAGGCCCTTTGAGGGTAGAAACCTGTAGCGTGGCAGCTGACTGGAGAGGAGGGAGTCTTCCAGAGGAGAAAAATAGAAGGAAGAACTGGAGAGAGGGAATGTGGGAAAGAGAAGGTGTGAGAATCGGTGAAAGAAGCAAAGCAGTATACATCAAAGAAGAAGTAAATGTAGTACACTTGTTTGATGAAAAATGTTAATCAAGAAAGACTGTAATAGTAATAAAAAAGTAATAATTTAAAATGGAACAAGCAATTTGAGCAAAAGTTTCACTTTTTGTCCCTCTGTTTTCTGTGCACAGGTACCTGCCTAACTGTGAGTGTGAGATCTGTACATATTGGATGCCTGGAAACCCTTCCTCCCTTGATCCCCTCAATTCCAATAATACTTTTTGTATTTAGTTTGGACCACTGTAAATAAACACACTAAAGTGAAATTTTCCAAGTCTGTGTCTGGGTCCATTAGCCTTGACACTGATGACTGAGGGACTATTTCATGTTATTTAGATTTTGTTTTATTTGTTTGCACACATATGTGTGTACATGCATACATGTAAATGAAGGTATGTGTGTATATTAAGGGTATACATGAACTCAAGGTAGTGACTGAAAGAGTGTTATAGTGGCTACAAATGGTGGAAAATTGTACCTAAGGGGGGAGGAGTTTAGTAAGTATGGGGTCAGAGTAGACCTGCTACTCCCTGGTTTAGACTGCTGCCCCCATAATCTGGACCAGAATAAGAGGCAGAAAATGAATCGGCGGATTTATTTTGATAATTTATTTTCCTTGTGTGTCATTTACTTCCCAGTTTTCACCACTAATTTTCATTTTGATCTGCATAAAACAACACGTTAACACACGTTGCCGTTTTTTTTTTTTTAAAGATCATTAATAGAAAGATAAAGGATGTAGTTTACACACTCATGTGATTCTACCTTTTCTCAGCAGGGTGCTGTTCCCATTTTTCAAATATTTCTTCAGCCAATCAGGACAAGTCTGAGTGAGGAAGATTGTTTCTGCTGAGTTTCCATTAGCATTCCAGTCCTGTTCGATAATGTCAGCTTCTGGTTTCAGTGCAATCCATTTCATTGTTTTAAGATCAAATTCAAGAAGGTTCTCTGCATTATAACCATACTGTATCACACCATTCACCTCTCCAGTGTTTTCATCCCATTCACAGCCTTCTATCATCTGTAAAGTGTTGACAGCTGAAAAGTGAATTAGAAATTAATTAAAATGAATAATATTAATACTGTGAGGCACTGCTATTCTATCTTTGTTGTGTTCTTCCTGTGATTTAACTGATCTGACAACATTATATTGGAAAACAGGCGCAATTCATGAGTAAAAGAAAAAGATGAAGGACAAGAGGAAAAAAAACAATTCAACCATCTAGGGTATCCGTAAGAACCAGAAAAATAATTACAGGCACTTTGAAGGCACTAATAATTAATGCAATTAATGTAAGGCAACTATTTAGAACAATGTGTACATGTATTCTTTTGTCTCCAAAAGTTGATTCTGTTCATCTGAACGTAGCATTTTCAGTGGGAGAAACGTTTCGTCACTCATCCAAGTGACTTCTTCAGTCTCAGCTGCAGGTTTCCCTTTTCTTATAAATGGTCCAGATGAACAGAATCAACTTTTGGAGATTTACTTACCTGGATGATTGTGAATGCAACAAGATATTCTTTTGTCATGCAGTTTGAAGCATGTTCACATTAGTAAAATTTCTGGTCACAATCAAGATGCACAAAATTACAATTTAAAATCTAGAGACTAACAACATGATGTGACATAAAGTATAAGAGAAAATACTACACCTTCACTTTGGCTGGCCAGCTGCTGCCACTTTGAAATCCACTTTCTGAAGACGTATGGCAGTATCGCAAAGCAAAGTTCATTGTACGAATCCAACTGAGCCTTGTCATTATATAATGTTTTTTGGACCCAGTCTTGTCTTGTTTCCAATATCTTTTTGCTGCTGTCACAGTAACCAAACTCAGTGCGTTTAACCTCTGCAACTGCCATAAACTCTGGGATGTTTCGGACTTCAGAGGATTCAGTAATAAAATACACCAGTGAGTGTTTCACTGTGGGAAACAAACATTGATAACGTGATACATTAAATAAGAAAAACAATATAGACATTATTAGAAATATGAGTCATTCATTGTGATTCAGCTTGAACTTTTTTAAATGTAAGCTGCATGCGTTATATGCTGCAGAACGCTGGTTATAAACATTGTTAGATAGAATTTTTTGAGATCCTAATAAATATTTAAGATCAAAAGATGAAATGCAATTTCACCAGCTGTTCATAATCCTGGACCTATTCACATTTTTTCCCCCTAACTGTGGGTGTTTTATCTGATCCACATGGTGGCAGTGTAATTAATAATTTCAGGAAAAAAAATCCTGACAGACAGAAACACACGCATAAATAAATAAATAAATAAATAAATAAATAAATAAATAAATAATTCAACTTTGTCACAATCAGTGGGGCTGACTGTGTGTAGAGTCAAAGGTGGACCCAAATGCAGATGAAACAAAACGTGACTTGAATAACTAAACACGAGCCGTTTATTGAGGCTGGCAAATGAACTGCACACAAAAGGCAAAAGGCAAGGCTAACAATAAACTAAACTGGGTGAGCTAAATTAAATAAAAAGTGACAACAGGAACATGGACCTGACATAAGAAAACTTGACATGAACTCTTGGCCTAGAAACCAAGCAGACGATCTGACAATGACACACTGAAAACAGAGGACTACACAGGAGGTGATTAGGGGACGTGGGAACACATGGGGGAACAGCTGACTGACATGAGGGTAATGACAGGACAGGGGAAGTGAAACTAAATACAATGAGCAAAGAACACACGACTCCTTCAAAATAAAACAGGAAACATGAGACGCAGACATGACAAAACAAACTTGATAACATAAGACACGCAGCATAAAACACAAAGGGTGAGGGGAAACTTAAATACAGGGGAAGAAAACACAAGGAGTCTAATAACCAAATGAACTTCGCTAATCTAATGAACTTAAACATGAACAACATCCAAATACTGTAAACTAAACCTAAAACGCTGGGTCAACATACCCAGGAACATGACAAACGTAGAATAAATATTCTACTAAAAATAAAGTACTACTAAAAATAGTTCCTTAGTTCCAATAGTTCCAAATTTATATACTCATAATGAGTTTTTTTTTAGAGGCAATGAGTTTGCATATTTCTTTTTCTTTATTTCTTTTTCTTTATTTCTTTTCTTTTAATATCAATTTTATAAAAATTAATAATGTAACAGCATGATAATATTTTTTAATCCTCCTGTTAGCATGAATTACATATTTGTGTGCATATTTGTACTTTGGTGTTCTGTGGCAGCTGCAGAGATGAGGAATTATCATAGCCAAGAGTTACTTTGTATTTTTTCTTGCTTTTCCCTTTAATGCTGATGGACATGATAACGAGATGCCAGGGCTGTTTAGGGGAAATTCCAGGTTCATCTTTGCTTCCTTTTTCCTAACTTAAAGAGCCACCCCTGGTGACCATCGCCCGATTCTCCTGTCTCATGGAAACCAGGACCATCACAGGTGACCCCCTTGCACCCCACCCACCACCTCTCCACCACCCCCAGACTCACAAACAGCTTCTTCCTCTGGGCTATTCAGACTATTAACGAACACAACCTTTACTACTTAAGTAAGCTTTACTTAGTTTTTTAGAAGCAACAGGTTTGCATATTTCTTTTTAGTTCTGAGAACTACTTAGCTTTTACAGTGCACTTTACATCATTTAAAAAACTATGTTGCTATATTCTTTAACATTTTCACTAAAGCTTCTGCTAAACACTTTTGAGACAGAGTCTTTGGATTTGCTAAACTGCGAACGATGAAGAATCATCTGTTTAACAGAAATATGTATCAGGAATCTATTTCACGTGTATTAAAAGCATTCTGCCTAAATCTTGTGGGAGTGTAGGAGTCTAGCAGTGTAAATAAACCATGTTTAAAATATATGTTTTTTATACGATATACCAGCCCTTTTCTACTACATCACTTATGGACAGTGCAGAAGAGTTGTAGGGCAAATCAAATTCAATTGTTAATCACTGGCTGATAAAACATGCATTTGTGTTATCCAATTTTTTAATCCTAATTATTTCAGAAAATCAGAGCTAAAATGTTTTGGCTCTCCCAATAAAATAAAGCAAAAGTAAAACCACTGCTCGAGGTCAGATTATATTTCTGTTAGAGCTTGAATGTTTGAATGCATTTCTTAGTTGCACTAAGAAAAGACGCCATGGCAGAAAAGAAACAATAAAAATAAGGTATCTTTTCTTTATCTTTAATGTTAACTATTGTCGTTCTAACATGTGAAAAAATAGGGCTGGCAGTACTTAGTTTAAACGCTTATCTATTGTTGCATCTGTTCCTGCTTTCACCCACTGAAGCATGAAGTGCTTCACTTGCCTGCTTGCCAATACCTGCCTATGTCCAATACAATGTGCCAAATTCTTTGACTGTAACACAAAGAACCTGACACGCAAACTCGAATGTAACAAGTTCAGAGTGAGTCCCAGCATGTATGTATTGTAGCTGGGATGTTTGCTACATCAGTAGATATTGTGATTTAAACCTTCAAGGAGTGCAGAATAAATATCATTTATACAACTGTTTGACTAGCTCTGATGTCGGAGTGCAAGTGAGTTTTTTTGTTTGTTTTTTTTTAAGTTGTGCTAAATCCCTATATACATGTCAAAGTTAGCATACTTTACTAAAAAATAATTTGCTCCAGTAAAAGGATTTTGGTTCATGATCTTACCTGCAGAAGCAATGTGACAGCTAAGGAGCAGCAGCATTAGCTTCATCGTCATATTTAGAAAGATGGAGTTGAAGTGAAGACCCGAGAGAAGAGTTGTGTGGTTTTACAGGTTTGTTAAGGTTTGTTTCCCGGTGCAAGTTTAGTTCACACTATCAGTATATGAGGTGTGCTTAACCTCAGCTGACACTCAGCATACTTGAACAAGGGTTTAATTGATATTATTATTATTATTATTATTATTATTATTATTATTATTATTATTGAAAAGGCATTTCTGTTGTGTCCCAAAAAACAATATAAGCATTTATCTATATGTTACCTGTTCCTGCCCGTTTCCTGCAAAATAAAGATGCATCTTCTGATGCATGCATCCATCAGAAAATGATCCAAGATTTTCTCCTAATAATATTAATACATCTATCAAGTTCCTTACAGCTTATGCCATTTAAGACTGCCAGTGTTTCATGGGGATAACATAAGTAACATATTTTTTATATACATCTTTCTAGACAAAAGATCACAAAGTGCTTCAAAAAGAGATAACAAGATATAAAACAAAAAAAGACAAAAAGTTAACGAAATGTAATTCTAAAAAGATGTGTTTTTAGTTGTTTCTTGAAAGAGACTACTGAGCCCACAGATCTTAACCTCAGTGGGAGAGAGTTCCACAGTCTGGGGGCCACAGTGGAAAAAGATCTGTGTCCCTTAGTTCCCAGCCTTGTATGCTGTATGACAAGTAGGCCCTGATCACATGACCTCGAGGACCTGCTAGGGACATAGTGCTGTAGAAGTTCAGTGACGTAAGCTGGTGCGTGTCCATGAAGAGCTCTAAAAGTCAGAATCAGATCCCTATATACATGTCAAAGTTAGCATACTTTACTAAAAAATAATTTGCTCCAGTAAAGTGATTGTGGATCATGATCTTACCTGCAGAAGCAATGTGACAGCAAAGTTGGGCTAAATCCATTGTTAAGGTTTGTTTCCTGGTGCAAGTCTAGTTTACATTCTCGGTATATGAGGTGTGTTTAACTTCAGCATATTAGAGCAATTATTATTAATTATTAATCATTAAATTTTTTTAAATTAAAAAGGCATTTCTGTTATGTTGTTACGGTCGCTGACCTTTAGTGGCTCTCCCTCTGTGAGAGAGTTTTTTTCTCCTTTCCTGTGTTACAGGTCTGCCTCATGAGCCACAGCTGAGGTGTGTTGCAGCTTGTCAGCCACGGCATATAGTCTGCCATCCTAAACTGCCACGCCCCTGCCACTTCCCCCATTTTGCCAGAGCTGTGAGCTACAGTGGTTTGGGCAGCAAACTTTAGTGTGTGTGAATTTAAACTCTGTGTAACTTTGGCTTTCTTTCTTTTATTGTGAGCAAAGATGTGCCTTTACAGTGGTAATTAGTTCATCACAGTGGAAGCAGGTAGGGGTTCTCCTGTTTTTGGCTCGACAGGGAGCTCAGCCACTGTGTTTTGTTTTTGGCTAGAGAGTTCTTGGTTTGATTTTTAGTTAAAGGGGGGGTTTTGTTTGTTGTTTTGGCCTGAAGACTCTGAAGATAAGCGCTTCCCTGTGTTCATTTTTACTTCAGTAGTTTTCTGCAATAAATCATGTTTAATGACATGATTTATGTCCCCCCCCTCACTTCAGTCAGCACTTCGTTTTTAAGTGGGGCATATTTTTTAAGTCTAAAAACTACAATATAAGCATTGATCTACTTAAATGGTTAGGTATCTTGGGACAGGGGAGCGGGACATCAACAAACAGACTGTAGCGATGTGGACAGTGTACCAGTCAGTTGTGATGAAGAGAGAGCTGAGCATAAAAGCAAAGCTCTCAATTTACCAGTTGATCTATGTCCCTACCCTCACCTACCCTCATGAAAGAATGAGATCCCGAAAACAATTGGCGAAGGGTGGCTGTCCTCACCCTTAGAGATAGGGTGATGTGTTCGGCCATCGGGAAGGGGCTCAGAGTACAGCTGCAGCTCATCCACATCGAAAGGAACCAGACTATTGTGTTATAGTCTCATACTGTTGCTTCAGATTTTCAGTGTCTGCAACCACATTAGGCAGTTTAGATTAAAAAAAATTAGCTCGAAAACCAATGTCATTTCCTGTGCTGAGAATGATCACTTCAATTATATGATTAGATTTGCCTCAGTAAATTTGTCAATGGTCACCATATCACACATCACCTCAGAATTTTTTTTTTTCATGTAAAACTCTTACACCATTAAAGAAACTCTATGATCCATTCATCCTTGGGTGAGAACACTTCAAAGAAAAAGGAAGAGCTAGCACAATGCACAAACTGCAGGTCAGATCCTGAAATGGACTGGAGGCCAGTATAGGTTTAACACTCTTTCTTGCCCAACAAAAGGCAAGTTGCTGCATTTTGAACAGCAACAGCAACCCGACCGATCAAGTCCACACAGTTGAGCTTAACAGTTGGGCAGAACTCTTTTGGCTCTCAGCGAAGGTGGTCGCACTTTTCTCCTCTCCTGCCCTTATCTTCCCTGCTTAGCTTCTTATGTCCTTGTCTTGTGTTTTTACTTACTTTTCCCTGGAACACTCTCTCACAGTCTGTTCTCTAAAACCTAAAAGAGGAATTATGGATTTGATCACCTGAATGCAATTGAAAGCCCTTCTCAACGAGACGTCTGGGCTCGGGTGAGCCTGACTGCTGAAGATATCTACCTATTCGGAACCATGATAACAGGGTTCTTGCTGATCGGAGCTGGCTTGGCCCTGGCTTATTGAAGAATTAATGAAGCATGGGCAAATGTTCCCATAATTCACATTGCAACACCTGGTCTGTTCTATTTACTTTTTTTTATTTATACATTTGATAAGCATTCAAATATCTTAATGAATACAGAATATAGATCTAGCACAAAGCAAGAAAGCGCGAGATAAAGCTAATCAAAAAGGTATTGGCTGGAGCAAATGTGTGTTATGTCAACCCTTTTAACAAAAGATAATTTAGGAAGCAGCTCATTTACAGGCCTTGAAGCAAAAGAGTAAAACAAAACAAACAAACATAAAAACAAAACAAATAAAGTCCATCTTAGATGAGTAAGTACTTTAAATTAAATTTCATGACGATAATCCACCCAAAACAACCAAGAGTTTTAGTCTTATTATTATTATTATTGCTCTTCTAATTCTTGATTTATACATTTTTCTAATCTCTGGTTTTAAACATGTTTTAACCACCAGCAAGTTAGGTAAACCCGGATGAGCAGGAAAGGCAAGATGGATCCACTGAAGCCCCAGTGATCGTTGAGTTGGGGAAAAAAATCCACCTGAATAGCAGAAAGAATTAAACCAACAGCCACATCTCAGGTAAGATTTAGCTCTCAGCAGAAGACCTACACATCTCCCCCTTCATCTGAAAGATTAGATGACAGCAGGCAAGTAAACAAGTGTGCCGGTTTAAACACCAGTAAAGGGGTTGAGGTTTGATCACCCACATTATGCTTTATCCAAGTTTTGTGGGACGACTTGATATCAAAGAGTGCTTGGTCGTCATATACCACAAGAGCAGACACACATTGGCAACAAACACAGAATAAAACAATAGCAACTGCTAAGTAAGTTTCAGTAATTACAACAATGAGAAACTACTTCTTAAGTATGTATGGTGTGCCATACTTGAGGGTGCAAGAACACATAATGCTTAAGTAATCAGTATTGAGAGAGGGTTTACTCTTTTGTGCTAATATTTTGGGTTGAAAGAGGAGTGCTCATAGCTCACACAATCACTTAATCCCAGTTTTAACCCAGGCTAAACTGTACATTGATTAATACATTGATTAAAAGGCAAAGTGACAGGATTTGCTCTAAAAGCTAGAGTGCATAGTTATTGTCTTCAAAACACTAAACTGTAGTGTTACAACCACTGCAGTTTAGTGTTTTGTCCAATTTGATGATGATGTTCTCATTTGCACCGGAAAAGTGAAACACACAGACATATTCGAACTGAGCTTTTTCAGCTTCCCATCGCAGTTTGGTGGTGACAGCCTGTGGTGATGTGGCGATCCACGTCACTGTTTGCAGGTCAAATGATAGAAGACTTTCTACATCATGCCCATACTGATTGAAGCCATTTATCTCTCCAGTCTCAACACCCCATTCACAGCTATTCATTCTTTGTAAAATATGAACACCTGAAAAAGAGAGACAGATGAGATCTCAGCACATCTTACAACTGATATCCACTCCAGGTGCCGAGGATCGTTCTTCATAAGGTTTTTAATCCACTCTGTTTTGAGTTCTGGTCCCCTTCCATTGCTGTCACAGTTACCTCCATTATTGTTTTTTATTAATCTTTTATAAAATGTTACTAATCATTGTCACATTATTGAAGTAAATATGTGGCTTAATTTAGATTAAAAAGCAGAAAAAAAATTACTTAGTTTAAACATTTGTAATTCTGTTAGAGCTCTGAAAAAAAATCTACTTCTCGCAACTTACATATATGTTATCGTTAATTGATGCATTCATCACTCGGTAACTTACAGAATCTTCTTGATAGCCAAACTACTTTGAGCTAACAGGAAGGCAACAATAACTCAAACAATCACCCATTACAACCAAGCAGAAGAACATCTTTGAATGAACAACATACTGATCTGAGAAATATAGGGCCAGTCTCATCAAGTGCTGACACAGATACACAGATATATAAATTACATAGGCAAATCTATGTACTGAATGCATAATGTACTGAATATATGATATATATTGATAATAGCCACTGGGGGAGGGGAGCAGCTCTGCTTGCCTTTCTGTAAAGCCCCCACAGGTCACTGCAAAAACCCACGGTATGCTCCGCTTTCTCTCTCCCATCACATTCAGTGTTTTGAGCCTCCCCTGTGTTTGTGCAGCATGGCTGAGTCACGTGATGACACAACAACAAAACACAGCAAAGCAGTTATGGTTAAGCTGCTTTCACAGACATATCAGACACATCTTTGATGAAACTGAAACAGTCTTCTGAACGTAGAAGAGAAAATTGACTGAGAATTGATTTAACCACGCTATTACTGACCAATGCCAATGTTGGTAT